ATTTTTTTTGTCCCCTGATTATTTCATACTTTTAACAGATTCGGTGACAAAGCTTTTACTTAAAAAAATTATAAGTGCAAGTTTGAATGTCATAGCCCGATCGCATTTGATTTGAGGGTGGTTCCAATGAGCCATACTGAATCAAAACTTAATCTCGAGAAAAACACGAAAAACAGTGTTGGATAATAAAACACTGCAGATTTGCTGTATTATTATAAACATACACTAAGAATGGCCAAACTATTAACCACTGATATCATAGAATCCATTGAGCGTGTCAGATAACGAATAATTTCAAGTGCGAGTGCGAAATTGAAGAAAACGGCTCAGTTCCGTACTGCTGTAGCGTTCGAGAGACATGGTTGCCAGTATTATGCAAACGCACAACGAGGGATAATCCACTGAGGGATAATTATATACCCTATATATAAAATATGTTTTTGAAATGCAGTCCCTTACCCCCTTGGCTATTTTCGCAGATTTTTCGTCGCCGGAGCGATTCACGTCCCAAATGTTGGTTCTCTGGGCGTCTCTAATAAATACTCTATCTAACCGCTGGACTGAATTAGCTGAATTATGAAAAATTCATACAAGATTGGGCGAAAATCGGTCGTTTTGGCCTAAACATTTTTTTGCTCGGAAACGCAAGGGCGATAAGACTCGATTTTCAAGAACGCAGGTCACTCGGATCGGACGGTTTCTATTGTTTCGAGTCTGTTGTGTGTCTAGAAACATAATAACTTTGTTTTTTGGTAAATATAGAATATGCTCTGTTCCAATAAAGGATTTTGATATGCAAATCAAACAATTTTAATAGTTCCTTATTGTAACGTCTCCCATATAAATAGTCCTGTACTCCCCAGAATTTGACAATGGTACTAGCCCAGAATTGACTTTCTGTTCAGTGCGTCTTTGATTGTGGCAATGTTTACGCCACTGTACGAAAATACGCACACTCGCGAATTTGACAACATTCACTTGAGCGTTTTAGGATAGTGGGAACCACCACCGCTCCCATTGGAGCTACTTGCGTGTGGTCTTTGGTCACCGTCCCCGGCGGGACTGCTTGTGTGTGACCTTCTCCCGGCTTGTTCATCTCGTTGATCAATATTCATATTGGGTTTCGAAATCATCAAATCTCGGGTTAGATGTGATTCGGTCTCAGATTCAGTAGACAATTCCAATGGAATCAGTCGAGTTATAGATCGATTTGTGGAACCGTTTTTGGTTGCTAGTTCCACAGCACGAACTATACCGTCGGCTCCCGGTAACAACTTTGTCACACGGCCCATACGCCAATGTACCCGCTTACGCACATCGTTGTGAATAAGTACTATGTCGCCGACCCGTACAGTGTTGATTTTAACTCCTCTGTGTTGATTAAGGTGTCGTTCTCGCAGTGAAACGATATATTCGTTAGCCCATCTTTTCCAAAATGCGGTTAGCAAGGTAGTTAAATACGCATAGCGCCAGTTGGCTGACTGGTGATCTGTGGCGAAATTGGAGTTAGGATTGATGACTGTTTGCCTTGGTAAACAGCAAATATTTCTTCCGTTGACCAGGTGGGAGGGCGTAAGTGGATTTAAATCGTTGTCGTCAGTAGAAAGATGTGTAAGGGGACGATCGTTGATTGCTGACTCGATCTCCGTCACAATCGTTTCCATTTCGATATAAGTTACACAGGCGCGACCGAGAATTTTCTTTAGACTAGTCTTAGTGATGGCTATCATACGCTCGAAAAATCCCCCATTCCAAGGAGATCGCTTGGGAGTAAATTTCCAGTTGATTTGTCAGGTATCGCTGAACTGCAGGATCGGACATCAGGGTTTTGAGTTCATTGGCGGCCGATACAAACGTAGTGGCATTGTCCGAAACAATTAATTTAGGAGTACTACGTCTAGCTGAAAAACGTCGGAGGGCTTGAATAAATGATGTTGTTGTTAAGTCTGGCACAAGCTCCAAGTGAACTGCTCGTGTTATCGCACACGTAAACAGACAAATATAGGCTTTCACAACTGATTTTGAGATAGGATAGGGCGAATAAATGTCCTGTATAGTCGATACCGCACACGGAAAAGGGGTCTGCTTCTTGAACTCGGAAAGTAGAAGTGGAGCGGGGATCGGTTTGGAATAGCTGGCCCATCTACTCGCTTACACACCACACATTTATTGAGTTCTATGTTCACATATCGGCGAATGGATATAATCCATAGCGTTCGCGTA